GTGGCCATCCTCACCACTGTCTTTATCGCCGTGGCCTTCCTCACCATGGCCTGCCCCACTATGGCCATCCTCACACTCGACATGGTCTTCCTCCCGTGATCTGCCTCGCTATGGCCTTCCTCGCCATGACCTTCCTCACCATGGCCATCCTCACTCTCATTGATGGTTTTTCACCCTGTGGTCTGCCTCACCATGGCTGTCCTCACCATGGCCATCCTCACCATAGGGCCTTCCTCACCGTTGGGCCTTCCTCATTTCAGCTGTCCTCACCATGGCCGTCCTCACCACGGCCCTCCTCACTCTAATCATGGTTGTCCTCCCCATGGCCATCCTCACCATGGGGCCTTCCTCCCCATTGGGCCTTCCTCATTTCAGCTATCCTCACTATGGCCATCCTCACCATGGGGCGTTCCTCACCATTGGGCCTTCCTCATTTCAGCTATCCTCACCATGGCCATCCTCACCATGGGGCCTTCCTCACCATTGGGCCTTCCTCATTTCAGCTATCCTCACCATGGCCATCCTCACCATGGGGCCTTCCTCACCACTGGGCCTTCCTCACTTCAGCTATCCTCACCATGGCCGTCCTCACCCCAGCTTTTCCTGCCATGACAGTCCTCACAACTGCAGTCTTCACCATGATGATCCTCACAACGACAATCCTTCCCATGGCCTTCCTCACCACCATGCTCCTCGCCGTGACGACCCTCGCCACGGTCTTCATCACGGTGGCCCGTGCACCTTCTCTCCCCACGAGCTCTGCAGAGACTCTCCTTCCACCAAACGAGGCTGGAAGCTGCTGTTATCCCCCTTAGGGACCTGCCCTTGGAGCTGGAGCTGGGTCACGGCCAGAGGGATGAGGAGCTGATGGAAAAGGTTCAGCATCCAGTAAATCTACGTGGAGAAAGGGCCTCGGTCCCATTTATTTACTAACCAGCACTGTGCAGGGGTTACGTGAGTGGGGCTTTGCAGGTGACCATCCCCTCCCACCCAGGCCACCACTCCGGAGGACAGTCTTGCTCCTCAAGCCGGACCACGGACGCTGCTGGCCCGTGGCACAGCTGAGCAAAGAACGCCGGGATGGGAAAGGGCTTCAACTACTCCGCACGTGCAGTCATGCTCGACCCCTTTATTTATTTATCGGCGACTCGTTTGGGCCAGCAATTAATTAAAAATGCTGATGAACACCTCTGGCGCCGGTGCGGGGAGGGTTGGGGCGATAGCGGTGAGTCCTTGTGTTTCTTCTGGCGGGGGGAGCGAAGCAGGTGGTGTCCCAGCCCGTGGGGATGGGGAAGGGTCTGGAGAAGGTCTTGGCTGCTGTGGGACTGGGTGGAAAGGGTGGGCTGGTGATGGTGGGTTAGAAGGGGTAGGAGATGCCAGCACCGTGGCGGCTGCAGGGCTGGTCTCCCTGTTGGGTGGTCTTCCCACTCATCGCCTACCATGGCCACGGTTTTGGGCGCTCAGGGCATACTTTGGGTGCGGGCACCAAGCAGGTGTCTGATGGCTCCTCTTCTCTCTCAAAGACTGAAGCCATCTCAGATGGGCTTGTTCCCCTCCAGAGCTGTTCAGAAGAGGGCTGTGCCAACCAATACCCATCTCCAGCCCTGGAGATGGAGTCCACGATGACACGCAGGCTGAGACCTCACGTCTCCAAGCCTCCGAGATCCTCCTTCACTCGCTCTCGTGAGTGCCTGAGCCCCAGGCAAGCCCTGCCCTTGGGCTGCGGGCAAGATCAGGATCCGAGAGCGTTGGGCTGGATTTGGTGCGGTGTAGATGCGAGCCTGTGGTGGGAGAGGGGCAGAAGTAGTGCGGGACATGGTTGATGGCCTTCACAGAGAGCTAGAAACACCGTTGCCCCCAGAAGAGCAATCCCACCCCAGCAGCCTCCTGTGGGCAGCAAGAAATAGCTCCTCCAGCCTGGCCTGCGCCCTTCCCACGAGTGGGGGGTGTAGATGCGAGCCTGTGGTGGGAGAGGGGCAGAAGTAGTGCGGGACATGGTTGATGGCCTTCACAGAGAGCTAGAAACACCGTTGCCCCCAGAAGAGCAATCCCACCCCAGCAGCCTCCTGTGGGCAGCAAGAAATAGCTCCTCCAGCCTGGCCTGCGCCCTTCCCACGAGTGGGGGCGAAGCCTCCTGGTTGCAGGAGAGGCTCCTGAGTGTGGGTGATCCAGGCCACCTTGTTGGCCATGGTCACCTTTGTCCCACTCACCTGCATGACGGTGAACTCCAAGGACAGCTCTTGCTGCTGGATGTCCCCGGCGGGGAGGTTGAAGAGGAAGGGCGTGTTCCACACGGGGTTGTAGCCGGTGACGGACTTGGTCTCTTTGGTGTCGATGACTTGGCCGTTGTGGTAAAGGTGGATGATGACGTAGTGGCCTGGAAATGGAGACAGAGCCTTGGTGGCACCAGGGAGGGAGGCTGGACGTTAGCAAGCCAGGTTCCTGCATGACGTGGGCAGGGTTTCTGGCAGCCAAACTGGGGTGGCCAGGGGTCTACAAGACCTCCACGGTGCTCTGCAGAGCTGTGGGGAGAGGACAGAGACATGCTGTCCATCTTGGTTGCACCTACACCTCCCCGGTGGGGAGCGAGGACCTCCAAAGTCCTTGGCTCCTGTCCCTGCCGTGTCCCAGGCTTTGCATGGGCTGAGGGAGCCGGAGATGACAACAGCCAGCAGGACACAGAGCCAAGAGGAAATAAGAGGAAGAGAAGCCATTCCCTGTGCCCACCTGGGCATCTCCTCGCCCCCCGCTCCGTGCCCCACGCCCTACCTGGCGTGCCCGGCACACGCGAGAGCCGGCCGAGGTGCTCTGCCTTGCGGACCAGCACCTTGATGCGACTGGCCAGAGCTTGGTACTGGAGGAGAAGGAAGAGCTGGCCGAGGGATTTGGGTGGGGAGGAGAGGACGCTGTGGCTTGTGTTGTGGGTGCTGAGACACTGCAACGAGATGAGAGAGCAGGAGACGCCGTTGAAACCTTCTCCCACCTCATCCAGCCCCTCCAACTCGGGATGCTTGTCTCCCGCCTACGGTACGGTTGGGTCAAGAACGGGCAAAAATGAGCCAAGAAGGTGAAGTTGATGCTTCCATCACTGTAAGGATGGTGCCAGCTCAGCGTTTAACCCTTCCACTCCCAGCACCCCCGTGGTCAGTGAAGCCCCCAAGCAGAGGTGCTGCCGGTCGTTACGGTTGATGGATATTAATTGTGGGCAGCTCCTGAACCTACACCAGAAGGGAGGACACCATGGGGATGGGGGCTGCTGTCTCAGCACCTTCAGTCCCTCCTGCCGCCGCCCACCGGGGTGACCCTTGGAGGAGGCTCTGGTTCTCCTGTGGAGTTTTAGGGCTCTGACACCAAGCGAGCCTCGACCAAAACATGAGGACAACCCTCCCATTGGAGACTGCTGCCTTCCTGACCTTTCTGAGCTTGGTTTTGGTGCTCGACAGCTCCCAGCTGTAGCTAGAAGATGCCTGGGGGTCCCAGGTGGCCTGAGCGCAGGGGAAGAGGACCTCTCCCACGAAGGAGTCCTTGAGGCTGTGAAACCTGGCGTAGACGGCAAAGCGTAGGGTGAAGCTCCTCAGCTCCTCCAGGCTGTACCGGCCAAACCGGCACAGCTCCCGGCGGGCAGGGTGGAGGCCGCCGCGCTGCAATGCCACGCGCCGGGATGCCGGGAGCTTTGGCAGCAGGTACACCTTGACGTAGGAGCCCTGGCCACCCCGTGACCCCTTGGGCAGATTGGAGACACCGAGGACCGTCACGGTGAGCGTGGCCTCAGCCAGCGAGTAGAACAAGTCACAGTGGAGCCGAGGAGGCTGCTTGGAGCTGGTGCCGGAGGGCAAGGGGGTGGAGGGTCCTGGGATGGGGTGCACCAGCGCGCTCTCCTCATGGCGGAGGAGGTTGGCTCCGGAGATGGTGCAGCGGCGCTGCCACGCTCCCACCAGCTTTGGGGAGAAGGAGAGCCCAGGCAAGGAGGCTCTGCCACGGAGCAAACCACCGTGGGATGCCAGTGATGCCGGGGGACCCTCCTCCGCTCGGATACCCAGCACCTCTCCTGCCACCTCCTCGTAGTGCTGCTGGATGGGCACCGTCACCGTCCTGGTGGGCAGAGCGGGTCCCAGCTCCACTGTCACCTGCTTCCGGCCAAGGCGGGAGCCCGGGCACCGGCAGTGCCGCCGGCACGCGGCGCAGCCCAGGAGGATGCTGAGGCAGAGCAGGGCCAGCCCCGTGCCAAGGAAGACCTGCAAATGCACTGGAGAGAGAGATGGGTAGCGTTAGCGTGGCGGGTCTCGCCAGGGCTGCACTGCCACGGGTGGTGGAGCAACGGAGAAGAGCAAGACCTGGGTGCCCACCTCCCCTACCGTGCCTGGGACCCACCCCTCAGCTTTGCAAGCTGGGCTTGAACTGGAGCAGCCCAAAACCCAAAGGTGGGAAAGGAGCTGGTGGGGCCAGGACCGTGCTCGGCACCTGCGGGCACGGGCAGCCTGGCATCAGCCTGGCTCTGGTGGGGCCAAAACAAACGTGGCCTCACCCCGGGGACGATAAGGGCTATGGAAAAAGCGGCATTATCAGCCCCGCTGCCGGGCTGACGCGGGTTGGGCACGACTGGCGATTAGCTGCTCGCTTGGCGGGGGGACGAAACGCACCGGGGGGCACCGGGGCTGCTGGGGGGGGGGGGGGGCAGCAATGAAGGGGGGGC